TCCTTAAATGTAGGAGGCATATTTTTAGATCAGATTTCCTAAGCCTTAACCCCAACACGATGCGTGAACGGATGTTACGATTCGAGCCCTGGTTACGGTAGATATAACCCTGCCCTTTGAAGCGTGTGACGTTGTGCTTTTTTGATTGCCATAGGAAAGGCTACCTTTACCGCGAACTGTTTTCTTACTAAGTGGCGCATTCATTTTTATGCAATCATCATTTTTTTAACATAAAATCGCTGCTGAATAAATGTGTGGAGTATTTTGTTATCATTGATTTGCGTGATATTGAATAGGTCAAAACATTATATATTAAGAAGATGAAGATAAGGATACCGATAAAAGTAAAGAAAATGGTATAGATAGCGACACACAGGCCTGGGAAGTATTTCAGCATTTTCAGTATTCTCGGGGCTAATCGATATAAGAGTCGATATTTTTATGGATTTTGTTATTGATATTTTTTAATCTATTTTGTTATCGATTTGGGTATCGACTTTGTTATCGATGTGGATATTGGTTTTATCATCGACATTTTTATTGGTTTTCGGAATCTTCGGGATTCTCGGAATTTTTGGGGATCCCGTAATAGTCTAAAAATCCCAAAGTCTCGAAAATCCCGAAATAGTCCAAAAATCCCGAAGGAGACTAAAAATCTTGAAGTAGTCCCGAAAATTCCGAAAATCCTGAAGAAGTTTCGAAAATCCCTAATTAGTCTCAAAAATCCCAAGGAATCTCATAGAACTGGAAGTTGGAAGATACTTGAACATCTTATTTGCGTTGCATAACAAAAGTATTATTTAGTTGTAAAATTACAAAAATATTTATTTCTAATTTGGTTGACAAATTAACTCGCGAATCACAAATCAAATAGTATTTCTTAATTTATAGCGGATTTTAAATCAATAAGGATTTGAACCTTTATCTTTTTTTATCTGCATTGATTTAAACTATCCAATTTTGAAATGTTACTTACTGTTTATATATACATACATATATTTCTTCACTAGGAGTGCAATCACGTTCGTATGAACGAGACGCGCGATAGGCTACGCAAAAAGTTGTCGCAGTTGGNAACAACAAAAGTATTATTTAGTTGTAAAATTACAAAAATATTTATTTCTAATTTGGTTGTCAAATTAACTCACGAATCACAAATCAAATAGTATTTCTTAATTTATAGCGGATTTTAAATCAATAAGGATTTAAAATCACGCAACCCTGCCAGCGCATGACCGTGACGTTGACGTCGCTTCTCTCTCTCTCTCTCTATCAACAGCAAATTTGATATGTTTCTACGCACTTCTACGGTACCCTGCGTACACGTTCGTGGGTAACCGCGATCTAACACTTATTTTTATCTCTCCCAGCTATAAGTGTACGAGACCAACAGCAGAGGAAATTATATGCAAATAACCCTTTTCCACTGAGAGGAGCGCACATCTACAAAAAATAAACCCCCTGTTCTGTTTTGTGGGTTATTTTTCCTCTTAAATAGTGACGGTTAATTTGGGACACTTTCAAGGTGGAGAGGATTATTTTAATACTTTTAGAAAGTTGGCAACCCTCTTCAAAATTGTTACTTCGGGTTAAGAGTGCATTTAAATGCCTTTCATTCGCTGAACGCATTTACGCTATTTTTATTTTTTAACTCAACCGGTGAAACTGTCATTCAAAATGTTGTTTCAATCATTCAATTAGATGGAGTATTATGGAAGATATGGCGCTTTATTAGGCGGATACGGTGCTTTCAGCTTTTAAAAATCCTTTTTCTTTAATAAATAACTAAATTTGAAAAACGCGACTATTTTGCGCATGTATGTCAGCATTCATCGAGGCCACGCAATGAGCGGCAAAGCGGCGAGCGTCTGAGCGGCGCCATACAGAAATGCCGCTCATCCGCTCAGAAATACCGCTCAGTGCCTGTCCACTTCAAGACTATTTCATATGTTTTAATTTTAAGACGCTCAGCCGCTCATTGCGTGGCCGCGACCTAACTGTCCCATTTTGGATGTGAGTTACCTATAAAGCAATGAATTAATAATTAAACGTATGTATTTTTTGTCGTCGTTTTGAATTGAACCTTTATCTTTTTTTATCTGCATTGATTTAAACTCCAATTTTGAAATGTTACTTACTGTTTATATATACATACATATATTTCTTCACTAGGAGTGCAATCACGCTCGTATGAACGAGACGCGCGATAGGCTACGCAAAAAGTTGTCGCAGTTGGTAAACGCGCGCAAAAATATGAAAGCTGCAGCATCCGCAGCAGCTACTGGTGATCAGCAGCAGCCGCCAACGCAGCCAGAGGCGACACCAAGCACCAGCACTAAACAGCCACCTTCATTGAAGGCGGTAGCAAAAGCAGCGGCAGCAGCTACCGCCGCCGATTCCAAACCACATAGTACTACTGGTAACAAATTGGAGGACGATGACGACAGCTTAGTGTGTTTAAGTACATTGTGCAAACGTATTAGCCATTTGCATATGAATGCAACATCCGTCGCTGGGCAAGCGGCGCCGTCTACAACAGCCTCGGCCCCTACAGCAACGCAAAGTGCTGTGGGTAAAAAAGCTACTTCGTCGGCGGCGACGGCAACGGGTTCATCCGGCACTCCACCGGCAAAGAAGCCTGCGAATTCGGGGCCGAATGCTGCTGCCTGGGAGGCAGCGAATCGTGAGGTCAACAGTACCAGAGGCGCTAGTACCAAAAACGCTGCAGGTGGAAGTGATAAGGGCGGTGGCAGCACTTCACGAGATTTGAGTGTGCTCAGTGTATATCTAAACAGCTATTCGAAAGAGTTCCTAGATAATTATTCACGCGATCAATCGAAAGTACGCAAATGGATAAACGAAACACTGAGCTACATCGAAGGGGGCCCTAGCGGAAGCAATGGCACCGGTAAAAAGGCTCAACCGCAACCCACTAACCCGAAGAAGGCTGCTAAAAAAGCAAAACAAAAGCAACGCAAAGAGGAAGAAAAGCGTATAACGGAACTGCAGGATTTGCGTGGCCAATTTCATGATATCTATTTCAAGGAATTCACTGACAAACAGAAATTGAAACTGCTAAAGTCTAGTAAGAAACGCGACAAGAAGCAAATCGCTGACCTCGAGACGAACATCAAAAAGCTGCAACGCGCAAAAGCAAAAGTAGAAACTGTGATATTGGAGTTGATTGCCACTTTAAAACAGACCAACGCTGAATTTAGATTTTCTTATTTGCCAACAAAGGAACAACAAATAGAAAAGTTAAAATCAATCGAAGAGAATGCAACTACAGGTACCGGAAGTAGCGCAAGCGCATGCGCCAATGCCAGTACAAACGCAAATTTGCCCTCCACATCCGCCAATGCCAATGGTGGCATTAACAACCTGAATGTTGCTTCTGGCATTGCGCAGGGCAATAATAACTACACGCTGCCATCTGCGTTTGCTCATGCCAATGTGCCAGGGGCTACTTTTTCTCCCTATCAAATAGACTTCCAGTCGTCACAAACCGGCGCGCTAAATGCTGGCGCTGCCACGGCGGGCTATGGCATGATACGCACACCCCTGCCAGCACCCATGTGCTATGCACCACCACCGCATCAAACACTCTCCCCCGATGTGGTTGCTGCAATGGCGGCCAACGCCGCTTGCAACTCAAATGCGGACCCCTCTAAACGTATTGTCACAATACGCCGCGTTAACTTGCCAAACGTGCCGGAACCACGCGTCACGGTCACCGCCAAGGGTAGCTCGCCAGATAAGGATAAGTTGCTCTACACATTCGTCAATGGGCAGCTGGTGCCAACTACCGCGCCGCCAATGACGCAACTTCCCATACAGCAGTTATCGAATGTCACAGAGCCGCGCGTCACTATAAGTGCAAAGGCTAGTCCTGCAGACAAAGATAAGTTGCTATACACTTTCATCAATGGACAAATGGTGCCAACTTCGGCCCCGCCAATGACGCAATTGCCCTTACAGCAAATACCGTTGCCACTGCCAATGCAAGCGCCGCCACCACCACCGCCCATTGTCGCTAGTGAAATTCCGGCGTCACTAGCAATACCACCACCACCTCTGTCTAAAACGCAACTGAAAAAGGAGCGACGCAGAGCGGCAAAATTGGCAGCTGAGGAGGCGGCAGTTGCTGCTGAAGAAGAACTACTACGGCAAGAGCAAGCGCGTGCGCGCTTGGAGAAATCGAACATTCAGCAAAAAGCGGGCAAGAAGTCTAAGCCGAAAGCGGTCGAAGCTGTGGAACAGCGGGATGTAGCCGCAATGCCCAATTCAAAATCAATGAGGAATTCTAGCAGGAATGTCGTTACGCCCTCGGCATCAACTACATCCGTATCCACAGCGGAAGCGGTCGAAGGGGCACCTAAGAATGCTGGGAAAGCAGCAACACATGCGGCACAACGTCGTTCAGCTTCCACAACTACTTCATGCTCTGCAGCCACATCGCTATCAGCTACTCCAGTCAATAGTCAAATGAATACGCGCGAAAACTCTGTAAGCAGTCATAAACCGGGCGCATCGGGAGCTGAAGGAGGAAAGAAAGGCAAATTGGCAACGCAGCAACAGAAGACTCAAAGTCAGGTTCAAAAGCCGGCAGCATCACAAAAGAAACAGAAAGCAGCAAGTAAACAGCTTCAGCAAAAGGACATTCAAGAGCAATCGAGTAAGGGCAACGGAGGCAATAAAAAAATGGATGAACCGAAGAAAATAGAGAGGGCGCCAACCCCTCCGCCAGAGCCAACAGCAATAGTGGAAGATGACGCTGAATTGAAAGAGCGAAAGAAGCGCAAAAAGGAGCGAGTACGCCGCACAAGGCTCGTTGACAACGGACAGTTTGACAATAACCCTTTTGCTACATTGCATACGCAAGACTCAGACTCAGATTGGGACTCAGCTTTATCAAGCTTCGGTGAGGAGGATAACGAAACAGACTCAGAAAATCTGCAGCAACAAAAACAAGTTGCCGCTGTGCAGCAAAAGACAACCGTACAACCGCCTTCATCTAAATCCAAGAATACTCCAAAAGCAACACCGGCTCAAGCGCCTAAACCGGAGCCGACGATTCCCACCGCGGCGGCGGCAAACACGACATCTGTTGTCCCGAAGGCTAAAAGTAAGGTGAACGAGCCGAATATAAAAGAAAATCGTAACGCTAATCAACAAAACGCAAGACAACAGAACAAGCGAGGCCAACATGAACAACGAAGGGATGATGTTGTCAACAAGAAACAACAACAACAGCAACAACCACCGTCACAAATACCACAGCAACCGCAGCAGCAGCAAATGGCGCAACCGAAAAATCGCCCAGCGACGCAATCACAACGCAGGGGCGATAAAGACAGAGAGCGTGAACATGATCGGGANACAGCAACAACCACCGTCACAAATACCACAGCAACCGCAGCAGCAGCAAATGGCGCAACCGAAAAATCGCCCAGCGACACAATCACAACGCAGGGGCGATAAAGACAGAGAGCGTGAACATGATCGGGAACAGTTTAACGCGAAAGGAAAGCCAAAGGGTAAGGAAAATGTGCAAACAAGTCATGGTAGCAAACATGTTAGCGGAGGCGGAGGAGGAGGCAGAGTGGTTAGTAGTGTTTCACAACGCGAACTACCTTCAAAATCGGGCCGTCAATCCTCTCGGCAGCAAAAGACTACTGACACCGTATCCCAAAAGCAAACACAGCCGCAGGGACAGTTACAAGATCCGCCACGAACCAGGGGAGGGCGTGGCAGTAGAGGAGGGGGTGGCGGTAACGGAGGTGGCGACGGTGGGGGAAGCGATTCACGCCCGAAACGTGGTGGCGGGCGCTATGAGCGCAGCGGACGTGGTTCAGGTAAGTTTGTAAAAATTATAAAAGAGTTTCATTTAAAAAAAATCGTCATCATAAAAGGCCCTATTTGAAAATTTGTCGGAAATGCGGTATTTTGAATATTCCACAATTCAAAGTCATAACTTCGAACATACCAAATACAATGACATCTTTAGATCGGTATGTACATATGCCTATGTAAGTTTAAAATGTTTTTAATTCTCTACAATGTTAAATTTGTCAAATAGGGCCTTTCTCACGTTCTGCAAATCGATTAGGGCACTATTTTCGGGCTTTCGGTTTTTAAATCGTTTTATGCGTTCTGTAACTGGTTTCGGTTTCCTAGCATCGCAAAATTGCTATAAGTTTACTTTTTTATTTTCCGCAACGTATGTACTTGCGTGGCCGCTGTGCAAATGGAGAAATATCTTTTTGTCACTTTCCATATATCAGTTTCAGCTGAAAGAGCGCAAATCGGAAATATATTTCAATTTGCTTGTGATAGTATAGAAATTTTTATTTTTTGCTGCAATTGCTGTCAAAATATTCTATTTTGGGTGTTCACACTTGTCGGCTAGCGGGTTATTTGGTTTTATTATTCCATAGTAGTATTCATATAACACAATAAACTGCCANATCCTAGCATCGCAAAATTGCTATAAGTTTACTTTTTTATTTCCCGCAACGTATGTACTTGCGTGGCCGCTGTGCAAATGGAGAAAGACAAAGAGAAATTTTTACTTCTAGTGTGAACACCCAGAAATATCTTTTTGTCACTTTCCATATATCAGTTTCAGCTGAAAGAGCGCAAAGCGGAAATATATTTCAATTTGCTTGTGATAGTATAGAAATTTTTATTTTTTGCTGCAATTGCTGTCAAAATATTCTATTGTGGGTGTTCACACTTGTCGGCTAGCGGGTTGTTTGGTTTTATTATTCCATAGTAGTATTCATATAACACAATAAACTGCCAATAAAAGTGTAAAAATTATAAATTCCATACAAAAATATAAATTTATCAAGTTTTGTCGGCAGTATGAGGTTTGCTGAATAGCCCTAATTTATTTTATTGTGGTGGATTGGTTAACAAAATAACCACATAACCAGATGACCTGATGACCAGGCAAGTGTAAACATCCACATTGTTTAATTCTACATCAAAAATGCTTGAAATTAGTTATTTTTTGGAATTAAATTGTCAAGTTATCAATATTAAATTAATCTTCAAATGGAAAATAATAGGTTTGTTCGTCGAGCAAAAAATGTGTACGAATTTGTACGAATTANGGTAGATTGGTTAACAAAATAACCACATAACCAGATGACCTGATGACCAGACTAGTGTAAACATCCACATTGTTTAATTCTATATCAAAAATGCTTGAAATTAGTTATGTTTTGGAATTAAATTGTCAAGTTATCAATATTAAATTAATCTTCAAATGGAAAATAATAGGTTTGTTCGTCGAGCAAAAAATTTGTACGAATTTGTACGAATTATCACGATTTTTGCCCAAATCGCGTTCGTACAGACCAAAAAATGATCCAACACTCAAAAATTGTGAGAGCAAAGTTACAGTTCTCTTGNTTTTTTTTTTTACTCTGATATTTTGAGTGTTGGATAATTCTTGCTGGATTTTCGACGAACAAACCTAATGTTAATTATAACCAATATTTCTTTGGTTTTAATTAATGTTTGTTCTTGCTTTATATTTTTTTAACAAAAATAGCAATAATAATAGCCCGACAATATGCGGGCTTCACGGAAAAAATAATTCTGCTGATTAGGGGTTCTGATCCTCAAGCGCAACCTTTATCTACTCAAAACAAGCGAAAGCCCAAGCAAATATTGTAATTTTTGCCAATTTTTATAATGCCTCCCTAGGGACCCATTCCTCTTCCTCTGTTACCAGCATCGCGACCCGCGTTGAATACTTTGAGAGCTGGATCGCTTCTGTCCATTCGTATGACATGACCGAGCCAGCGTAGCCGCTGGATTTTATTCCGCTGCAATATGTCTATATCGTTGTAAAGCTCTTGCAACTCATCGTTAAACCTTCTGCGGTGTTCGGCAACACCTACGCGCAAATGCCCGCAAATCTTTCGCATAATTTTTCTCTCGAATACTTCAAGAGCCGCCTCATCGAATGTTTTATTGTTCATGTCTCCAGCACGTGCATGATGAGTGACTTATAGAGTGTGATTTTTGTACGACGAGAGGGGAATTTTCTTCTCAACTGCCTACTCAGTTCAAAGAAACACTTGTTGGCAAGAGNACGAGAGGGGACTTTTCTTCTCAACTGCCTACTCAGTTCAAAGAAACACTTGTTGGCAAGAGTGAGTCTCCGTTGGATTTTAAGACTGACATTTTCGTAAGACAAGTCGTATACTTTTTCAAATATGTAACTGTCAACAGTGATGTGGCTGCCGAGGCGCTTATGATCTGACTGTTTGTCTGATGACAGGAGATACTTCGTTTTGTCTCGTTCAGCACCAGAACCACTGACTAACTCCGAGAAGGCAGAATAGACGTAGCCAATGATGTCGATTGTACGCTCTTGTAACGAATTGTGCCTGAGCGGTTCAGTTCTGCGGCTCTTATTATATTCTCCAACATCAGATTAAGATACACTCTGCTCATTACGGATCGCCGGCGAAGAAGCCGTCGAATTTCAGCGACCCCTAAAAAACAACGGATACGATGAGGAGTGTCAATGCAAGTCATGTGGGAATGTTATAGCGAACTGAAGACGGAAGCAAGACATGTTTGACGCAATAAGAAGAGAGAGACGAAAAACTTGAGTGCGAAGAGCTTGAAATGCTGGCTGGTAGGAAAAACGCCCGAAAATTGTATCCGAGAGTTGGGCGATTTATGGAAGGTTTCAACAGGGCGAACTTCTGTAAGACCAACATTGCCGACCTACTGCGGCCGGTTTGAAAACGTTTATCTCAAAAAAAATATTGGGCGTTCTTCAATCAAATTCTGAAATAGGGTGTTCTTCAAAAATTTGCTTGCATAAGGCGTTTTCGAACCGGCTGCCGAGATAGGTCGATCATACATTCAGCCGTCGAAGTAGTGTAGAAGGCGAACCCAAGCCCCCAGTTGTTGACGATGGAGTCGATGTCCCACCGCCTGACTATGACGAGGTACGAATAGAAATTACGTGGCTGAAAAATAACAAAGCTGCTGAGGCTGGCGGACTGCCAGCCGAGCTATTTAAGTACGGCGGCGAGGAGCCGATAAGGTGCCTGCATCAACTCTTTCGCAGAATATGGTCAGATGAATGCATACCCGACGAGAGGATGTTTTACCATAAGATAACGAAGAATATGGATCACCCTTATGACAAGTATGAGAAAAATCGAAGTTTAAGGAGAGAGAATAAGCATTCAATTTGGACAGCGCCCTCCTTAATTGAGCATTCATCTCATTTAGCAACACCCACAAAAAAAAAAAAAAATTCATTACAACGAAGAATACGGGAGGGAACATTAAAGTGAATTTTCATGAGGTGGTGGGGGCAATCGATAGGGCCTGCAATTATGTTTATCAAACGCAAAGCGCATCGACAACAGAGTACGCCTAGACTCTAAGGTCACGAGATTTATCAATGAACAACAATGCCTCTATCTCGCGATAGCATCGATTGTTTCTGGCACAGCAACCGTTTTTGGACAACCTTCTCGAAATTCATTCTGGCAAAGAAGATGGCGTTTCACAGTGACTAAGTGTGGTGGTTCAACGCCAAAAGTCGAAGTAAGTTGATCAATGCACTCCTTTCTCAATACTCCACTTCGAAAATCGTAATAAATCATCGCACGAAAATTTTCATGAGTTAATTTCACGACTTGATTCCATCTTTTGGGCGAGATGCAAAAAAGATGCGATAAAAGCAACCCTCGTATGCCCGCGAAACTAATACGGCTGTGTAAAATTATCGTTGAATAATACCACCAGCTCCGTCAGAATTGGGAAGGACCTCTCCAAGCCGTTTGATACGGCGCAAGGTTTCTCTTTCGTGTGATTTGTTTAACCTAATGTCGGAGAATACGAGCCGCAGAACTGAACCGCTCAGCCACAATTCTTTTTAAGAGCGTACAATTGCTGGCGTATGCCGTCGACTTCGGCTTAATCGGTAAAAACATCGGTGGAAACAACAGGTGGATAAAGACTTGTCTTCACTTGGTATTTCCAATTCGCGGCAGTTATGACAGAAGACTGAAGTGCTCTGTTGGACTCGGCCAAAATCGCCTAGGTGGTTACAGCTCTAATTAAGAAGAAGAAGTTTACATGAAAAGTTTATTAATAGATGTAAAATTTATAACAGTAAGCGCGAGTTTTTTCGTGCCCGGTTAAATCTGACTGTTTTATACTAAGATTAGCCAATAAAATGTCAGCCAGTTGTTAAATAGTATGTGTAGGGCTCTTTATATTCGATTACTAGTCGCTTGTGTTCGATTATTCGAATATTTGCAGTCAGCGCCTAATTAAGGGCAGGTCCGACGCGGCCGCGGTCCAGGGCCCCCTTATTAGGTGGCCCCACACGTGATGACGAAAAAGCAAAAAACAAAAATATTTTTTCAGAGATTACACGAAAAGATCGCTAGGTATGAAAAAGATTTGTCAGCACCATCAATACATCTTGCGGAACCTAGCTTAGCTTCTCCTGACTCTGGCGAGATTCTCGTTTCGCCCAATAATGGAAATTTCCGTAGGATGCTGGAACTAATAGCTCATAATGACCCCCAGACATATCAAAGAAATTGGAAATAAGGGACGAGTGCAAGTGAGTTATTTATCCTAAATAACCTGCGAGGAAATAATAACTTTGAGGGGTGAGAAAGTACAGGCAGAAATAATAAGCCGGATCAAAAAGACAAAATATTCGTACCATTCCATCTCTGTTCATGTACGAGACTGCCGTGGTTAGTCGTTTGATACTCGATGCAACATGAGTGGCAAGTACAAAGGCATTCAGACAAGAATTTTAAAAGAAAACACGCCGTCAGAAATCTATAATTATCGATACTGTTAAAATTAAAATATAATTGGTTTTTTTTCAAATTAATTGTAATTATTAACTCAAAAAAAGGCTCCCACATGTATAACGGCTCCGCGCCCCCACATTCTTAATCCGGCCCTGTTTGCAGTACATGAATTTATTTTTAGCTCATATTATTACGTCGCTATATGGATCCGCATTCGTTGAAGGCACTCTAAAAGATCCGCGCTCCACATTTTATATATTTATTACAGATGTGCACTCGCTTTAGGTGATTGGCTAAGGACGTAGTGGAGTGGTGAAAGCCAAAGAATGCACCACAAATGGAGCACGTAAGGCTACGGTTACTATGCATGCGTATTCTGACTTATTTTTTTGTTTCGGTGAAATCGTCAGAATACGCATGCATATTAACCGTAGCCTAACGTTATTATAGTCAGAACTTTTTTTAAAAAAGCCCCAAACCCACATCACTTTTCTTACGCTCACTTTAATAAATAAAAGATATAAATTGAAAAGTCACAAGTATATCCAACGTTGGAATTATAAAAAAAAAATATTTGAGTAATCGTAGTCCATCGATTATTCGAATCACTTATATTAACTATAATCACTTATAGCAACTAAAAAGTGCTGTGATCAAGGATCATATTATCGTCTGTTTAACAGCGTCCTAACAGATCTATTCTGCACCTTACCGATAATTTTGTAACTGGAAAATTGTATTATCAAAAAGTGTTACCACTTCTTGTCACAGCCATTGTAGGTACGTTGGTAATGCAATCAAAATGGTCTGCAATTCAGCTATGAAGATTGTAAAAATTCCGGTATTGCATACATACATATTTCACGGGGGAATATTTTGTTACCAACTAATGAGATGTCAACAAAATGTACCGGTAACAAAAGTGCACAGAATGCGAAAAGGATTTAAAAATTGGCAGGCGGTTACCAAATTTTTTCTTGCCAGCGCAGAGTAGACCTGTAAATTGAAAAAATTACATGTGTCAAATGACCAAGCAAAATTACGAGGAAACCGAGACCGAAAAATTGTCAAATCGGTCGTACAACATAAATGTCGAAATTAAGGCACACTCACATTGTGGCATAACTTTCGCGTCCCAATAGTCCCAAAGCCTCGAAATAATTCTGAAAATTCAAAGGTAGTCCCGAAATGATGTTTCGANGATCGTCTCTTTAACAGCGCCCTAAATGGTATATTCTGCACCTTACCGATAATTTTGTAACTGGAAAATTGTATTACCAAAAAGTGTAACCACTTCTTGTCACTGCCATTGTAGGTACGTTGGTAATGCAATCAAAATGGTCAGCAATTCAGCTATGAAGATTTGTAAAAATTCCGGTATTGCATACATACATATTTCACGGGGGAATATTTTGTTACCAACTAATGAGATGTCAACAAAATGTACCGGTAACAAAAGTGCACAGAATGCGAAAAGGATTTAAAAATTGGCAGGCGGTTACCAAATTGTTTCTTGCCAGCGCAGAGTAGACCTGTAAATTGAAAAAATTACATGTGTCAAATGACCAAGCAAAATTACGAGGAAACCGAGACCGAAAAATTGTCAAATCGGTCGTACAACATAAATGTCGAAATTAAGGCACACTCACATTGTGGCATAACTTTCGCGTCCCAATAGTCCCAAAGCCTCGAAATAATTCTGAAAATTCAAAGGTAGTCCCGAAATGATGTTTCGATTTTTATATTCCTCTGGCATATCCCACTTAATTCACTTAGCACAGTTTCGAAAACACTAATCACTTCTGGTCAATATTTTTGAAACGATGATATAATGAATCCCGGACTCCCAGCTGACTTTATTGATATCGCCATAGACGTTTCTTTCATTTAGTACTTCTAAGAAAGCATTTTTTCTTAAGCGATAGTTGGCAAGAAATCTAAAATCAACGAATTGCATACTCTTAAAACAAAATCTTTTGAACTGTAACTTCGGTTCCGATTCCAAACCGTACGATTTGCAGAATATGCTGCATGTTATTTGATTACTGAAAAAAAAAACGTATATCCCCAATGTTTTCCTATTTTTTTCTTATTCCCTTTATAAGGTGGTGGTGGTGGAAACGGCAACCAAAATTCCAATCGTCATTCTGCCGAGCACAGTCAACAAATGTCGGTCTCCGGTGCTGAGAGTAAACCACTCTCCAAGCGCGCACAGCGACAAGCGCAACGTAATAAAAAATTCCAAAAGCAACAACATCTGCATCACAATTATGAGGATTGCGGAGCTGGCATACCGAACAATATGGGCTACTTCAACCCAGACGAAGTTGTGATACCACCATCGCCTCAGCCAGTCTTGCAGCAGCAACAACAACAACAGTATAACAACTTACCCCAACAGCTACAAGCGCTGCACATTGGTGGCAATCTAAGTGTCAAAGTAAACGGTCAACCACCGATGCAACCCAGTTACGCGAGTGTAAGTAATGGCAGCAATAATGGCGGCTACCAAGGCATGGTGCCCGCTCTAAGCATAATGGACCAGCTAAATCGAGGTGTTCAAGTAGAAAACCTCTCACTGCCACCCGGCATCACTCTCACTAAGGTGGATCCTGTGAAGAGCGAGCAACTGCGTCAAAAATCAGAGTCTATACGTAAATTGTCAAAACCGTTACAACAACAGGCGCAACAGTCGCAATCATTCCATCACAAAGCTGGTGCGACGATAATCGCACCAGGTGGCAATTACTTCGGTGCTGCACCATATGCTGGCGTTGCTGCTGCAGCCGCTGCTCTGGAGCAGAGCGGCATCATTATGGTAGAGGCAAATCCAGCCAGTGGCAATAACAAAAAAGACCATACAAAATCAGGTGTTGGTGGTGGCCAGGCGCCGCCCAGTGGCAAACCATCGAAGAGTAAGAAACGGCGTAACAAATCAAAACAAGAAAGCAATGCACGCGCTGCTGCCGCCGCTCAAGCTGCTGCAAACGCTAGCGGCAGTGTTGGTGATAGTGGAGCAGCTCAGAATGCCAACGGACAGCCGAAAATGATAACGTTACGCAATCCGATGTTTCACGGTGGAGCGGCAAGCGCTGCCGCAACCATACTACAGCAACAACCGGGATTAATACCAGGTAAGCGA